GGCGGCGGTGGTGGTGGTGGTCGTAGTTTGAGGTATCAGCATTAGTACTGGTATGTACTGGCATGAGTATCTGTAGTAGCCAGTAGTCGTGGCCGCGGTAGTGAGAAGCATCTCTCCCTTTTGATGATGTTTGCGTTGGGCAGTGTGCGAAAGGCAAGAAAGATAAGGCAGTGTCGCAATGTGCAATCAATCTTGCATTTGAAACGAGATTGCCATTTTGCGGGGTGGGGCGTGGATGTGCTGTTGAGAGGAGGGAGTGGGACCAAGCATTGAGTTGACGTTTCCACAACAGTAGCCATTTGAAAAAAGTCTTTCCCTCAACCCTTTCGGATGCAGATTTTGCGGTGTTCTATTTGCGAAGCACGGCACGAGACAGAGGGGCCTTGGTTGCTCGAAAGCTCGTGGCACAGGTGGTCAAGACCACGAGGCGGGCGGTGCATGCGAGAAAAAAGAGGGAGATTCTCAAAAGGGCCCCCTATCGGATCCATAGGGGACATGTGGAATCTCTGAACAAGCCCCTTCTGCCCCCAGGGACACGCAGGGCACCCCCATTGTGAGAAACTCCCAAGGATCAGTGCCTTAGTGATGATCATGATGACTTGGAAGCAAGAACAGTCATAACTCAACAATGATGTTGCTAGAAGTGATTGGTATTTTCATCAGACAGAAGGCAAGAATAATTCAGCTAGCAGCTAGCACCAGTAAAAGAACGCACCGCAGCCTGGGCTCAAGATGGGCATTCAAGGGCTACTGAAGGCCTTGGAGAATGTGCAGCGAGACTGCCATGTGAAGGAGTCGCCCTCGTTGCATCTGTTTCTTGCATCCTTAGCGGCATGTCTGTTTTGACATGGAAACACACGCACGCTAAGCCTTGTGTGTTGTAAGCTCCGTTTCAGAGCCACGACCTTTTCAGGAGTTTGCTGGCAAAACGGCAGCCATTGATGCTCACGGCTGGCTGCATGCTGCTTTGGCAGGAAGTACGGATCTTACATGCATGTCCTCAAAGTTCACGTAGCAAGTATTCTGTTTCTGTTTGCTTCGCAGTGCTACCTCTGATCTGGAAACCGTTTGACCTCTTCTTTTTCTTTTTTGAAGTAACCAGCCTCTCCGCTCTCTACCCCTCCGGGATATTCCGGAAATAGCATGATGTGTGATTTGTCATGAGTTGTGTGATGTCACCTATCCTCATTCACTGCCTGCATCTACCCTCTTTTGCTACCACGACCTCATCGCCAGCTTCGGGAAGCATACGCTTCACCTATCATTCGTCAGTCAGATAGTCTAAGCTATTAAAGGGGGTTGTAGAGGACATAATACAGGGGAGTATTAAGGGAATATTAAGGGGGATATTAAGAGTTTAAACTATGGCCTAGTCTATGGTCGCAATGCCTCTTTGTTTAAGAGAATTTGCCATCGCCTTTGTCACCATAGTCGCCATCATCACTGTCCCCTCGCCATAAAATACCTTCATCTCAACATCAGCACGGGCATCATCCGTCATCGGCTTATATCGGTATGTCGAAGAATCTATCCACACGGCCTTTTCATCAGGGTCTTTAGGACCACAACTATCCAGAGGGTCAGCAGCATAAAGGAACATTCATGGCCATCAGCGTTCTCATGTGGCCATTCCAGTCTTCTTGGCCGCTTTGTCCTGATTTTCATCGTTTTCGTCAGCTCGCCGGCTTGGTTCTGGTCGAGATCTGCATTATATGTGCATCTCTGGTTTCATCTTCCGCCGAATCTTTCCCACATCCATTCCATTTGTATTTGCTTTAGTATCATGTTTGCACTCTTGGCCGCTGCTTGATAGCCTGGCAGTCCGCCTAAGTTGCGACTTAAGAAAGTTGGACCAGTACGCGATTCTTTCACAAGGTGCTTTGGACGTAGAGCTGGACATCGACGCACAGGCCCACGTCCGCTACTGTGCCAGACGCATTTCAATGTTGCTACTTGCCAGCATTCGCTCGTTTTATTGGTGAATCACCTTTCGTAATGACTTGTTGATGCAGTCCTGAGAAAGGCGCAAATGGGGTGTGGAGCCAGTCTTCGTATTTGACGGGGCGCCGCTGCCAGTGCTAGCCTCATATATCCTCATATTATGCGGTGGTTTTGCTGCCGTGATCTTGGTTGCATGTCTTCATCAGGGCTCGCAAGTAAAGGTGTCTTGATGATTGGCCCTTATGATTTTCTTGGAACCAGCCAGCCGTGGCCAAGGCAAAGATGACACTGTTGCAAGAGCGACGTCAGCGTAGGGAGGTCATGCGCCGAGAAGGCACGACGCTTCAGCCAACTCGGAATCCCCGCCTCCATGAGACTGGGTGTGTCCCTAACTTGTGGTCTCCGTATACGCCCCCAGACAATGGGTTTCGCACATGCTCAGTTTAAGATCCTAATGAGCACGGCAGGGGAGCTACGGCTCAGCGAAGGAGATCTGGAGCAGGCGAAGTCTTGTCTCGCCCAGGCATCGGAGTTGCGAATGGAAACTTTTGGACACCCTGTCTGTATAATATGAGACTTTAGGACTTTGGGACCGCTAGAAATCTGACGGCTGCGAGGCTGATGCCTGTAGGTGTAGCACATATATGACCCTAAACCCTAAACATATCTGATACTTGCAGTGATGCTTTGGTCTCCCATTCGGATTGGATGATCTATGCGACGACTCTCAGGCGGTGGAGATTACGGAGGACCAAATCGATGTAGCTCGGCAAGGAGGTAACATGGCTCCCTTTGTATCCACATGCTGGCGCGGGAAGGAATCTTGTCACGCAACCTGACCAAAGGATGTCGTGCGCCTTCTTGCCACCCAAGAAGTCAAGAAGCTTGACCGCATCTGTTGCAAACCGTCTTGAGGAGTGAGCTGTCACGCTCCCTGAAAAACAGGTATATCCATGCACCATTCGAAGCAGATGCGCAAATGGTGTATTTGGCTTGGCATGGTCATGTCGATTTCTGTATCTCCGAAGACAGTGACCTCCTCGCCTTGGGCTGTCCGCAAGTCCTGTACAAGCTCCGAGCTGATGGGTTTGGCAGGGAAATCCTGTTACAAGACGCTCTGAATGGCTTCAGCTTGGAGGACTTCCAGGCGGTTTGTGTCTTGATGGGCGTCTCTTCTCAATGCCAGATGTTCCCAATGCTCGTAGCATGTCTTAGCAGCCCTAAACAATAAACGCCAAACCCTAAGCCCCAAATCCTAAATCCTAATCCATGAGCCCAGGTTGTGATTATTTGCCGCGTTTGCATGGCGTGGGGCCTGCACTTGCCCTTCGAGTGGTGATGTCACGGGGCTGCGAGCCAGAGGCTTTAGTCAAGGCAACTTGGCAGGTTTTGTGGGGTGCATTGGAGGGTGGTTTGGTTTTTGTGTTTTTTTTCTTTTGGGGGAGCTGAGCCAGAGCGGGGAGTATGCTTACGTCGAACTCGAAAATAGCACTCATCACGTTGTCGTGCCTTAGCCGTTCATCTCTACTTGTGCAGGCAGTGTTGTCGCACTTGGAGAGGTGTTTAGCAGAGCACTCCCGTGCAGATCATTGCAAGACATTGAAGGCCCTGCAGCACCGTAACAGTCTCGTAGACAAGAAGAAGCGGCAGCTGACCGAACCAGCCTTGTAGGCCAGAACTGATGAGGATCAAATCTGCCCGACATCAATTTTTAGACAAACCGAAGCTTCGAGAGTGCAACATCCGCTGAGCTACGCAGTTGGGGATTGGAAAAGCCTGTGTTGGGCACAAGGAGGTGCTTTGAAAGTTCGTGCTAGTCATTTCTTTGAAAGTTCGTGCTACGTCATTTGGTGCTTGTGAGCATCCGTGAGCTGTCTATGCTTGTTGCCATATGTGGTGTCATTGGGGACACTCTAGACTTGTCTGCCAAGTGCTGCCTAGGGCATCCCTGAATGAGTAACGTGCAGGGGGCCATACGTGGATTGCAAGGGCCTCCATTCAGCCTGAAAACTTCTGGGTCGCTGTTCAGGAACTTAACTTAAGTTAGTATATTAGGGGAACCGTATTAACGACTATATACCTTTCCCAGCAACCCAGAATTTGAAAGCATCACGGACAGTCTCAGGAGCTGCAGGCACTGGGGATATCGGTGCCATCAGACTATGCAGAATATTTCCGACTGGCCACCATGGTTTTCCAGCTACAGCCCGTTTCTGGGTTGCTGTTAAGGAACTTAAATTAAGTTACCATATTGGGGAAACCCTATTATTTACTATATATACCCATTATGATAACTTAATTTGAGTTCCTTTACTCCCTATATTCCCCCAGTTTCCATTTCATTTTCCATTTTCTTTTCCATTTGATTCTCCACCATAGGGGGATAATCCCTTAATTTAAGTTCCTTAACCCTAAACCCTAAACCCATTATGGTAACTTAATTTAACTTCCTTAACAGCAACCCAGGTTTACGAGCCTCGGAGCGGCCAGAAGATTCCTCTGCAGTGTGGGCCATGTGGGCATCAGGACTCAGCCTCTGCCAATGCTGAAACTGGGGGTATGGGTCCCCATAATAAGGACTATAAGAATTTAGGGTTTAGGGTTTCGGGTTTAGGGTAGTTGGGGGTTTCCCAAAATTAGGGGTACCATTTTTTGGGGTCCCCATACTAAGGACTATAGTATATTGGGGTCTATATTGGGGTCCCCTTATTTTGGGAAACTACCAACTTAAGCTGGCTACTCACACCAGCCGAAAGCAAAACGCAGCATTGCCCGATTCAAGTCTGGTTCTTGTGAGAAATTGAGATGGCGAAGGACGCTGCAGCACCTCGTGATCAGCTTGAAGGTGTTTTGGTAGCAGAAAGGCTTGCAGTTTCTGATTTCGATGGGGCCGTTTTGAATTCAGGGGGTATCTTGCCTTCAGGATCCCAAGTGCTTTGGGGGAGAGGAGGCGGACATTGATTGTGACAAAGCCATGGGAGGCTTTCTAGGGGCTTTGCACTTATTGAGATGCATTTGGAAGCTCAGGACAAGCCGTGCAGAAGGCCTGGTTGCGTATGCCACACATGAGTTCGCAACAACTCGCGGTTCCTGTTTCGTTGCAAGGGGAAGTGTCTCAGGCATCCGGCCGGAGTCGAAGTCCCCGTCGGCGACAAGGCACTCAGTGATGCAAACCCATCTTGTCCATGCGTCTAATAACAAGTAGCAAGGACGGTAGCATGTCTGGCAACAATGGCAGTTTGGAAGCAATGGTGGCCGCAAAAGGACGAGAAGACTAGAATGCTTTGGATGACAGTAGTTACAAGACACTGCTGGTAAGGCAGCCGAGGGGGCCGGTCCAAGCCTGCTGCTGATGGAGATGGTCAAGGACGTCCTTGTATGAGCTGCTTAAGCAGTTACCTCCGCTTCACCTTTTGCACTAGGATTGTTCAAGACTGCAATGTGATTCTCTTCTGGGTTGCTGTTAAGGAACTTAAATTATTTACAAAATATGGAAAGCCCATTTTCATATACCCATAACATGGGAATTTCATTCAAGTTCCTTAACAGCAACCAGGTACACCCCCATATAAGCCCAGTTTCCGTTGTATTTTCCGTGTGATTCTCCATTATTGGGAGTGGTATATCCCTAAACCCCGAATCCTTAACCCTA